GGAAAACAAATTTTTAAAATCTTTTATCCTTCGTTTGATTTTTTTTATTCTGATCTAATGATAAAATCCTATTTTCATTTTCCAATACAGTTAGTTTCATCTTTTTTAATAGCTGATAATTTGTTAATTTTGTTAAAATATAATCACAGCCAGCAAATTCATTGAAGAGGACTGAATTAAATAAAGTATTGATGACTGCAACTCTTGAACTCTTGAGCATCTCATAAAAAAATGAAAGAAATTAAAAACTTTTTATTAATAAAAACTTTCTCTGGACTGTGGTGTTTTTCTTGATTATAACGTGTTTTTCGTGGTTGAAGGTGAAGAGCAACTCCTTGAAGGCCAGCACACCGGCACCGAACTAATGGGTCGCGCCCGGCTTTGCGCGGTACCCACGTCTACAACCTGTTCCTCGCGCCCCGGGCGGGGCTCGGCGCGGTCTCGCTGTCCACCGCCCGCGGGAGCCAATGGGCAGGCGCAGCCGGTCAGCCCGCCCGGGGATTGGCACCCGCATCCCGGGCCGCGCGCCCCCATTGGCTCCAGGCGGCAGAGGGGCTTCCGCGGTGGCTGCGGAGGCGGGGCTAAGTGTGGTGATTGGCAAGTCCGGTAGCCCAGCCCCTTCCGCTTCTCAGGCCTGACCTTCCTGCCGCCCGGCTGAGCCGCTACTGCCGCGTTTTCGCGATTCGACCCGACGCACCCCCTCTCGCGACATCATGGTGGCGTACTGGCGACAGGCTGGACTCAGGTAGGCCCGGGCCTCTGGAGGGAAGCGCACGGGCCCGGCGCCAGAGTCGCGGCAGGGGTAGCCGGCGCGTGGCCTGGCCCTCCCCACCGGCCTCCGGGCCTCGGCGCCGCCGCCAAGATGGCGTCGCTGTGGACAAGGGCTGCCGGCCTACAAGCCCCGGAGGATGCGGACGCCGGGGGGCGGGCCCGGCGCGTGCAGTGCACCCTAGTGCATCGGCTGCACACACGGACAGCCCCGCAGAGTTGCATGCCCTCTTGTGTTACCCCTTGACCTCGGGGTCCTTGTGGAAAAGGGTGGAAGCCCCCTCTGAGTTGTTCAGACCTGCAAAGCACAGTGGTGGCCTGGGGGGCGGGGGTTCAAGTGTGCAGCTGCCGCCCGGTGTGCAGTGGGAACCTGTGGTCCTAGTGACACACCTTGCGAGTTGGCTAGATTTGAGTAGTGGTAACTTCCCCAACTACTGAGTAGCCCGAGTTCCCTGACGTGCTAAGGTCAAGCAAAGTACGATGAACTTGAAAAACAATAACAGAAACCGTTTATTAAACCACCTACTATGTGATCCAAGGTTTTTCACACTTTGTATCACCCAGACCCTTTCAGGGCAGGTATTATTATTCTTTTATTCTATTGTTTTTACAGGTGAATAAACAAGCTGACAAGGGCTGAACAGCCTGCAAGTCACCCAGTTAGTAGGAGTGGAAGCAGGAATTGGAACTCTTTACCTCTGACTCCTAAAAACAAGTTCTAAGACAGGAGCAGTAGCTACCACCATCCACTTCCTGTTTTCAAAAAAAGTGTGAAAAGTGACCATCTTTTGGGAAAATAAGATGTTGCTAGACATCCAGCTACCAAACAGGGAGCAGATATTTAGATATTCTGCTAGAATTAATGGTGTTCTCTGAGGACTTTTTGTAATTTAGAAACCCTGATTAGGAGATATTTTCAATGACAGGCTTGTGAGAGACAGTCTAGTATTCTCAGGAAAGCCTTTAAATATTTATCAGAGAAAGAGCTGTTTGGGTTCAAGATAGTTTTTTTCTCTGTTAATTATAAATACCTTATCTTGTAAGAATAATACAATTAAACAGGTTTTAAGTAAAATGGGAAAATCATTGTGTTGTATCCTCCAAAAACATTTTGGTCTGATTTTTGGTTGGTTGTTTGTTTGCAAGTCAAACAGCCTACAAGTCACCCAGTTAGTAGAAGTAGAAGCAGGCATTGGAACTCTGACTCCTAAAAACAAGTTCTAAGACATGAGTGTCACCCCCGCCATCGTRTTGTGGGATTTTTTTTTTTTAAATATGCCCATTTTACTGTAAGTTAAAATCATGATCATTGAACCAAAAAATCAGTTGCTCTTTTGGCACATTTCTTTCTTTTTGTGTGTGTGTTAAATCCAATTCTGCAATAATGTCCGACTAAACCAAAATTAAAAGTATAGGAAAGAAACCAAAAACACAGTAACACAGCTGTCTGGCAGGATTATTGATAATTAACATATCTTCTCTCATTTTCTCCCAGCTACATCCGATTCTCTCAGATCTGTGCAAAAGCAGTGAGGGATGCACTGAAGGCAGAATTCAAAGCAAATGCCGAGAAGACTTCTGGCAGCAGCATAAAAATTGTGAAAGTAAAAAAGGAATAATCAGTAAGTTATGGATTTATTTAGAAGAAGAGTTGCATCTTAAATTTTTAGAGCCACATAAAAATCAAACTAATTCTAGTTTGGGCTTCTGTTCATTTTTTTAGTCAACACATTTCAAAGTTAGTTATTGGGGTAATAATTTAAAATATACAGGGTGTAGAAGTACTGTGGCATGATAAAAGGATGTCCTTTTGGGCCCTGACAAGCAGAAGTAATTGGCATATTGATTTTCAGTTCATTTAGCAATGCTTAGGTAGAAAGCCATCTTATTTTAATTAAACCTGTTTCATTTGTCTGCACAAAATCAAATAATTTGGAGGATAAACTCCTCACTTTTCTAATTGCTATTGGAGTTATGTAACAGTTCAGGATCATGAAAAATTACAGCTCTTAGCGTTTTTATTTCCCCCACATCTGCTAATGTCCTCACAAATCAYCATTTCCTGAACATAAGGACTTCGAGTACAGCAAGGGTCCTGCTGTTTTACCGAGCAGTAAAATCTGCATGACCCTGCAGTGAATACTGTTTTGCTGAATTTATTATGCTTTCAGACTGTTTGGTTCATTTTAGTTCTGCAAAGATGTTGGTGATGTAAAGTTTCATTCTTATGCAATAAAAAGACAGTTCTGTACAGTTGATAAGTTCAGACGTTTGTACTCCAAACTATAAAAGTGATTTGATCTCTCAGCTACTTTCTTGACATTGTTATTTCAAAGATAAGGCAAATTATCAGAGCAGTGTTTTTCAGATTGAATTTTCTTGTTTTGCTTTTAAAAAGCTGCAGACACACTGTAGCATAGAAGTGTTGTAGACATTAACCCTTTGGCAGCTCATGGATACGAGCAGTTTCACTTGATGGAGCTGTCTCCCCTAAGCACTTTTCATTCTCATTTTGAATTGGTAGATATTAAGAGTCTAGAAATGTGGTGTTTTGAATTGAGTCCTTTCTTAGGGGCTGTCTAATCTCCTAAGTCCATAGGAGACCTAAGAATCTCTCTTAGTCTATACAGTAGTGCTGTGCCAGACACTGCATCTGACTCCTGTGACTTTGCTGTGTCCTTGGGGTCAATAAGTTCTCTTCAGCTCAGCAGTGAGGACCCTCTCCATCAGCACCAGGGATATTGATGTCTTTTAAAGGCAAAGTAGTTCCTTTCTTCCTAGGCAAGTGTTAGATTTATTTATTGGGGAGTGCCAGTTGGGTGAGGCCCTGCACTCTTAAAGTTATCCTGGGATTGCACCTGCAAAGGGATTTGCAGCCACAGTTAAACATTGACAGTTCACTATGTGAAGGTCCTTTCTGATATTTGTGTTGGATGTTTAAGAAAAGATACAGAACTGGATGGCAACTGTTGCATTTTCTTTTTTCCTCCTAGACCCTGACTAAAGCTTGAAATGCTACATTTTCAAGGTGAAGAAGTGTGGGCACGTATTATGGCAAATTAAAATCATCTCACTTCATGGAAAAAAAAAACTGTCTTGTTCATAAATTGACAATGCCAATAAATTGATGTATGGTTCACTCTTATTGTTGGCTTTTGGTTTCTGTCAAACTTTTGTTTATAGAAACTGTCTGCACAAATACATGATAAGGGGAAAGGGCATATGTGATATTTAGTGACCAAAGAGATACAGAAAACACTTTTTAAATGTCTCAAAATAGAAGTTCTGTTTTTCATGACATTAATTGGTGATTGAAATTAGACATTGCCATTATAGCTCTGTTGTCCCTAATCTTTGAATTGCATAGTCACATCAGAATGATGGCTCCGTTGTCAAGCAGGGTCTTCATCCTTTTGTCTAGACAGAAGTATCTCTAAGTGCCGCTTAGCCAGTAATGGAAATGAAAGTAATTACTGAAAGCATACATTAAAAGAACAAACACTAAATTGTAGCACTCATTTATTTATTGTGCACTTAAAACCTATACAGAACTGTTAATGTTACAATTTAATCACAAAATGCACTTCATATTGTTTTATAAATGAGTCTATATTTTAGTAGCATTTCTCATAGGAAATGAGGCAAAGCTGTTCAATACCTGCTTATTGAGATCCAATGGCCAGGCTAAAATTAAAATCTTGAGATTCTTGACTACAGGTCTGAGGTATGATGCTGCAGCAGTTTTGTGGTGTTCATTCATTCATTCATTAAATATTTAGTGAGAAAGAATTGTTGCAAATTTGGTTTTTATCTTTCTATGAAGCTTGGAACACTTGCCTAACTTTACACCATTGCAAAATTAACTGTAAATTTTTACTTTTTGGAGAATGGAGAAGTAAAATGGAACAGGAAATTTTGGAACACTTCTAAGACCAATTCTCACCATGGCACTTAAGCTGGTGATAGTTTATCAGGGCCAAGGACAAGATGATGAAAACATCTTTGTTCTCAGCTTCTGGGAATGACCTTCGACACTTGGCCTGTGATTTTATTGAATTCTCACTACAGCATGCAAAAAGGAGCAGTGGATTGAGTGGAAGGGGGTATGCAGCAGGGGAGAGGCCTCAGAGTCTGCCAAGGGCCTGTCTTCCTGCTGTTAGGAAGTTAAAGCATCTCTCTTAAGTGCCAGGGTCCCTAGGGTTAAGGTAGCAGGAAGCATCTTCCATTACAGAGGATAGGAATAAATGAATCACAGGCTGTCGGGCCTTTTTAATACCAGACAGATAAAGTAATAGGCAAAGGAGTAAATTATTTCAAATCTAGTGATTAGAGACCAGTTATTTACTGGAGAGGCAGAGGGGATGGTTTAGAAGTAAGAATGAGGGACAGAGCTTGTAATATGGAGAGAATGTAGGGAACTGAATAAAAGAAAATCTGTCCAGCAAAAAATTTTTTGATGCACTTTCTGATTTAAAAAAAAAAAAACAAAACAAAACTTGAACATCAAGTATTATAATGAAATGAACTCCCCAAACCCAAGACTGCAAGGAAACTGGCAGGACAACTATACCAAATGATGTAGGGACCCCAATCAGACTGAGTTGTGGGTAGTTCACAGATTAGTTGGGTGATGTTAGAGGGAGTCCAGTCATAAACTCTTGTAGTGGCCTGGGGTGTAAAGTGAAGGAATTGGACAAGCTCTAAAATTTTATAATTCTGCTATTTCAGTCTCTTGAGAAACCAATGTCGCCGTAGCAACCATAACCACTAAAGGAATGAGTTCTTCAAAATCAGGAGGGATAATTTCTCATTTCTAGTTTGTTGTTGTTTTAATCTATTTGTATCATACAAAGGAGTGGGATGGTGAGATGCATTTTGAAATATTTTTAACTACTCAAATTAGTCTGGGTGGTTAGGCTCTAAGAAAAGGAATTTATTTAGTTTGAAATAAAGCAATTTAGCCATTTAAAATTGAATTTCTTTGTACTTTAATGATTGCTATTGAACAAACAAAAAGTCTTTACAATAATATAAATCAACAGAACTTTTTTAAAAAGATCTTAAGTCCATATCTTCTCTTGCATCTATTTAATTGCCTTTTTAGATTTGAGAAAGAAAGTACCAGAGGAAGTGTGTGTGTGAATCTGCCATAATCACATGCTCCAAGTCTTTTCAGCGTCTGGGAAGGTTATTAACTTAAAAGAGTGCATATATGTAGTTTCTTACTAAATCTAGTGCTTCGCAAACCACACACAAGTAAAATGTTTTAAACCATTGTTTTGTGCTTTTTTGATTTTGTAAATAGAAGGCTGTGAGAGATGCCAATGGCAAGGCCTAATTTTCTCTTGGTGTGTATTTTAGTTATTTCCTCGAGATGCACACAGAAAAGAGTGACATTTCCCAGAATGAGCAACTCGTCCATCCACCTGCTCCATTATTATTGCCAATAACAAAAGCACATCAGGAGATGGGAACCCAGTTGCCGGCAAGTAAATATTTCCTAAAGTCAGTGTCAGAGCATTTTCCCATCACCAGTTATGCATAGTCCCATAATAGAGCTCAATGGTGATGCTAGAAGGCCATTAAGACCTTCACAGTATGGAAGGAACCACAGTGCTGTGTGTCAGAAATAGGTAAACTGTAATTAAGAAGTTATGGATGATTTGATTACACTCTTGTGTATTTGGTTCTGTTGTAATGTGAGCAGATTAAAATCTTGTGATGGTTAAAGCTGTGTCCTCATGCAAACATTTATGGCAACTTCTGCAAATTAATTTGAACTGTAAAAGTTCCCTAATGAGACGATGTCCTTCGTAACCAAGAAGGACACTGCAGCCATTTCTGCTTAATTCCTACATTTGAGTGGTTGCCGAGTATGCAGCGTGCCCTTTCTCAGAGAGCACAGAAGCCACACAGCGTTTTAGGGGCTGTGGGAGAAGGGCAACTACTGAATAAAACTGGAAAGCATGTTTCCAAATTGCCTATAAAAGGAAAGCCAAAGATAATTATTAGTGAATTCCTGAAATCTAATACTGATTAGAAACTTAAAATGGACGTGTGTGTGTTTTGAAAGCTAACTATTCAGAAATCAGAATCAGAGGATCAGTGTGCTTTAGTTGTGTTTTTCACTCTCTTGTTTTTCTGTTTAGCCAGAGGAAACTATGGCTTTTCTTTCCTTTTTCCCTTTCCAGTTCATGTGTTGAGGTATATATACACTCTGTGCAGTATACTAATGGATATTGGCACTTTCCTGAGCCTATAAATCACCATATGCTAGTGGTCACCTGCCTCTTTTGGAGGCCAGCAACAAGGAAGGCAGGATTCCAGATAGTGTTAGTGAGGAAGACAGAGACCAAGGTGAGTCTTGGCTGCCCTAGGATGCCAGGACCTGACAGTGCTGCTGAAGAGTTAAGAGTGAACTGCACAGGCCTCCTGCAAACCCACATGTGCAGTCTGGTTGCCTGGCTAGGGCTAGGCCTGAAGTCAAGACTCAATACACTTTAAAATAAAGGAGGCACGCTATGGTGTTTTCACTTCGCTGTTAAAAAAAAAAGTAAAAGAGAAAGATAATAGAGTGTGCATTGGCTATCAAACCACTCACTGGGCAGAGACCCTAGTGCCTATTAGCCTCCTCTCCCCAAAGCCTGCTCTGTAGCTGGGCTACAGTGCAAGGCAGCCATGGAGTGCTGCAGAAGAGAAACAAATCTTTGGAGAAACTTCTGTGAGTGACTTTCCTGCAGCATCTGTCCCTGCTAAGGCTCCTCCTCTGCTTCCGTTTCTACCTGCTCCATCACCTCTTCACTTTCTTCCAGATTGGCTTTGGCATCTTGAAATTGTTGGTACTCGGACACCAAATCATGGACGTTGCTTTCGGCTTCCCCAAACTCGTTGATGTCCATCCCTTCACTAGTGTACCAATGCACAAAAGCTCTCCTTTTGAACATGGCTGAGAAATGCTCAGAAGCCCTGCTGAAGAGCTCTTGAATGGCTGTATTGTTGCCTATGAAGGTGGCGGCCATGTTCAGCCCCCGGGGAGGGATGTCACAGACAGCCACCTTGACGTTGTTGGGAATCCACTCCACAAAACAGCTGCTGTTCCTCGTCTGCACAGAGAGCAGCTGCTGGTCCACTTCCTTTGTGGACATCTTACCCCGGAAGATGCAGGCCACTGTCAGGTAGCGGCCACGGCGTGGGTCACAGGCAGCCATGGTGTTGCGGGCATCAAACATCTGCTGGGTGAGCTCCGCCACGGAGAGGGCCCGGTACTGCAGGCTGCCTTGGGCGGTGAGCGGGGCAAAGCCCGGCATGAAGAAGTGCAAGCGAGGGAAGGGCACCATATTCACGGCCAGCTTGCGCAGGTCTGCATTGAGCTGGCCCGGGAAGCGCAGGGAGGTGGTGATGCCGCTCATGGTCAAGGACACCAGGTGGTTGAGGTCCCCATAGGTGGGCGTGGTCAGCTTCAGCGTGCGGAAGCAGATGTCGTAAAGTGCCTCGTTGTCGATGCAGAAGCAGGCATCAGCGTGCTCAATCAGCTGGTGGATGGACAGCACGGCGTTGTAGGGCTCCACCACCGTGTCCGACACTTTGGGGGACGGCATGACGCTGAAGGCATTTAAGATCCGGTCTGGGTACTCCTCTCGGATCTTGTTCATGAGCAGAGTGCCCATGCCGGAGCCTGTGCCCCCACCCAGGGAGTGGACGATCTGGAAGCCCTGCAGGCAGTCACAGCTCTCGCTCTCGTTCCTCACTACATCCATGACGTTCTCGATCAGCTCGGCTCCCTCGGTATAATGGCCCTTTGCCCAGTTGTTGCCAGCCCCAGAGTTACCTGGAAAGAAGAGGAAGGGGGCGTGATGTGTGGAAAGGGCACCTGTAGGAGGCATCCTTATCTCTGCCCGGTGGAATCTTCTAGAAAAACCTACCATGAACAAAGCTGTCTGGTTGAAAGAGGGCTCCTAATTTGCTGGATCGGATGCTATCCATCGTCCCAGGCTCCAGGTCCACCAGGACTGCTCGGGGCACATACTTCTTTCCTGTGTAAAGCAGCAGGAAGATGTCAGCAAACTGATATTTTTCTAGAAATTAATGTTTCATCAAGATGAAACCTTGTAATCCTGGTCCAAAAAACAAGGGTATTCTAGAAAGGGGTCTTCGATAGTTCAGGATTTGAGTACCTCCTGTAGTATCTTTCACCCCAAAAACATTTCACACATATCTGTAAAATACCCACCACACACACACACACACACAAACAAGGAAAAAAAAAACATTTCTCATTTTTGTTTGTTGTATTGCTCCTTCCAATCTGGATGATTCTATCTTTTACAAACATTTTTGCAAATTTTTGTTTGTAAATTTCCCTTTTTAGGACAGGAGCTGCTTAATCTGCTTGTGGTCTGGGTGAGTTCCTCTCCAGTCCTGCCTCTTGAACAGGGGTGGGGACCCCACTCTGGAGATTCAGCTGCCTGCCTGTCTGCCTGCTTCAGGTGGGATAACACTCATTTGATGCTTGGATTCCCAAAGCCTTTGCTCCTCTTCTGTCTGCTTCCTGGTTGTTGGGCCACCACCAACTGCAGCCCACCAGCCCTACCGTAGGCTTCGTTGTAGTACACACTGATTCTTTCCAGCTGCAAAGCAGATGCCCCGAGGTCACTCCCAGCATAGTCGATCCCGTGTTCCTCACCAATCACCTCCCAGAACTGAAAGTAAGAGCAGGGTTAAGTCAGTATAGACAAGGATCTGTGAAGGCCCAGAGGGCATCAGAAAGAAATGGAGCTCTTGGGCTTGTTTCCCTTGGTCAACCTAACCCTCTTCATAAATGACCAATTCATAAATGACCAGGGAATTTCTTGGTTTTTGCCTGTACTAAGTATAAATATGAATACTGAATTTTATACCAGCTTGAACTCCTGCAGTAAAATATCAAACACATAAAATACTAAATTGGATTGTTCTATTAAATTCAGGCTATTGCTAGGCGTGGTGGCCACACCTGTAATTGCAGAGGCTCCAGAGGCTGAGGCAGGAGAACAACATGTTGAAAGCCCACCTCGCAACTTAGAAAGACCCTATCAGAAAAATAAATAAATAAATAAATAAATAAATAAAAAGGAAAGGGGATGAGGCTGGGGTTGTGGCTCAGCAGTAGAGCACTTGCCTCACACCTGTGAGGCACTGGGTTTAATCCTCAGCACCACATAAAAATAAATAAACAAAATAAAGTTATACAACTACAATTAAAAAAAATTATATTAAAAAACAAAAAGGATGGGCTGGGGATGTGGCTCAAGCGGTAGCTCGCTCGCCTGGCTTGCGTGCAGCCCGGGTTCGATCCTCAGCACCACATACAAACAAAAATGTTGTGTCCACCAAAAAATAAAAAATAAATATTAAAAAATTCTCTCTCTCTCTCTCTCTCTCTCTCTCTCTCTCTCTCTCTCTTAAAAAAAAAGGGACTGGGGATGTGGCTCAGTGGTTAAGCATCGCTGGGTTCAATCCCCAGTACCATAAATAAATAAATAAATAAATCTAGGCTGTTGGACACATCACTTCATAATTTCACATCAGACAACATGTCTCTACTTTCACCTTGTAGTGCTCTGAGTTACTCAAGTGTGGATTCCATCAAGTGAAAATGAACTGAATTCTTATCAAATTTCACAATAATATATCATTTCACTTTGGAGATTTCTTTCATGAAGTTTTCCCAAAAGTGCATAACCAGGACCTTGTGCACAATTTTAAGTAATATGCATTTTTGATGATCAGGCATGCATGTAATTCAAAATTATGCATTAGCTGTTGTCTTGCAGCTATGGAGCATTCTGCCCTTCCAATCACATGTACAGTATTTGTCGATGTAGCTACATACCCTGTTCTCAATATGGAAGCCATTACTAGGTGGCCCCTTTGATGACCTGGAAAAGCATGTGTTAAAGTGCAATCAAAACATACTCATTTGTCAAGACCTCCTCAAGGGTGTTTTCCCAACTAAGTTTGTAAATGACACCTTGACTCCAGTCATGGTCTTAAAATAGGCTATAAATAAAAATTAAATCAGCTTTATTTTATAGTAAATTATGGCATGTCCTGGGAGTGAAAGAGTGAATACACTGAAGTTCTGAGACACCGCAATTGAATGTGTCTTAAAGTCCTTATAGCCSCAAGTAAGAAGTCACTGTTGGATTCTAACCACTGGGCAGCACGACCCAGGCCAAGAGCTTACCCTATCTCCACCATGCACATCCTCTCCAGGGCCTCTCTCCATGTTATCTTGCAATGTCAGAGCAGGGGGCTCCCCATTTCTGTGTTAGCTATGAATGTCTTGTCACTGTGGCATGGAAGGACCATAACTAGTATTCCAGCTGTAAAATTCTCTGCCTTCAGTTTAAAAAACCTGCACTTACAGACCTGAATTCATAGCAACCTTTCTCAAAATAGCTAAGAGGTGGGACAACCCGAGGGTCAGCCCATGGAGAGATGATAATCAAAACTGGTAAAGATTGAGGATGTTGATGCTGCGTGAAATAAGCCAGTCACGAAAGGACGAATACTAGATGATTCCATCTAAATAAGAGTGGTCAGATTCACAGAGGCAGAAAGTAGAACATTGGCTCCTGGAGCCTGGAGGGAAATGGGTTTAATAGGGACAGAGTTAGTGTTTAATAGGGACAGAGTTTCTGTTCTATAAAATGAAAAACATTTTGGAGTTTGGATATACAATAATATGAAGACACTTAATACTACAGAACTGTACCAGGAATTGTTTTCTTAACTATTTACTTTGTGGGATGTTATTTTACCTAAAAGCTTTTTAACTCTCTTACTTTTTGAGACTGCATAATATTCCATGATATGGATAGACTACATTTCATCTATACATTCATCCATCAGTGAACATTTGGATTATTTCTGCCTTTTGGCTATTGTGAGAAATGCTGCTCTGTAAAAAGTAAGGCCTCCTAATGGAAGTGTTTTAAAATCTTACTTTTAATGCAATTCATTCTAGTAAAAGTAATTTTCTTTTTGGACTACTGGGGATTGAACATAGGGCCTCACGTATGCTAGACTACCCCTCTACCACTGAGCTACACCCCAGTCCTTTGGGGCTTTCTTTTGAGACAGGGTCTTACTAAGCTACCAAGGCTGTCCTCAAACTTTCAATCCTACTTCAGCCTCCTAAAATGCTGGGATTATAGGTGTGCACCTGGTAGAAGTGATTTCAAAATAGCAAAGAGAACAAGTTATCTGGGTGTTGCAGAGTCCAGTTGTTTATACTACAATGAGGATTGGAGATCTTGAGCTGAAGCACCTGTCTTTTTGGTTTTAGCCAATTGAGTCAGGTATTTTGTAGAGAAATTTAAGCAGAAGGAGTAGAGGAGAAATAATCCAAGTGTTCACTAATGGATGAATATATAGACAAAATGTGGTCTATCCATATCATGGAATATTATGCAATCTCAAAAAGGAAGAGGGTTAACAAGCTTTTAGGTATGATAAAATATACCTTAAAGGAAGTATTTTAATTATTTCTGCCACTATACACAAAAACTTTATTTTGGGTTTACCTCTTTAATTTCCTGTTGCATACTAAATAAAACAATTTTTTAATAGCATGAACATGGGAGGGGAGGGAAAAGACACTGTAACAATAAGGTCTAAAAAACTTCCCAACAAATTTCAAAATCCTCATTTGAGACAAATTACTGTTGTTAGAAATAAAAAGTTTATTCCTAAGATGATAAAAGTAAAATGGTGGTGGTCATACCTATAATCCCTACAATTTAGGAGGCTGAGGCAAGAGGATTCCAAGTTTTAAGGGTCTCAGCAACTTAGCAAGGCACTCAGTAACTTGGTAAGACCCTGTCTCAAACAAAAAGATAGGGGGCTGGGATGTAGCTCAGTGTGTCTAGTCCCCAATACCAAAAGAAAAAATATATAAATGAAATGACTGACGGGAATTACATACATGAAATTATGGACCAAATTAGCATTAGTTAAACTAATCCTCTCAGCCTTTAATAGCTTCTGTGTCTCTGTAACTAAAGATCTATTTAATACACCAAGTCCTCAGCAAGTGCCTGCATCTGCAAGGCCACTGTCTCCCTGCCAGCTGGGGTATTTATGGGTCTGGGGGACCTGGTCAACAGTCAGCCTTTACCTACCTTGGCTCCAATCTGGTTGCCACACTGGCCGATTTGAATGTGCACGATTTCCCGCATCCTTGCTTTGAACCCAAGGGTCAGCTCTTCTTGGGATGCTCAGACTCCAGGAGACCCACTGTTCACCAGCGAGAGCCGGCTGTGACTTTGATCATTGCAGGGATGAGACCAGCTTTCAGACCACCCTTGCAGTTGGCCCAGGGGTGTGTCCAGTCCACAGCCCAGCCCTAACCCTCTCAGCTCTCTGCCTATCAACCTTCCAGATGGGTTGTCCTTCCTTTCCTGACAGAATATTGCCCAGTCATTTCCCAGAGCAGGAGTGCAAGATGGGGGGCCACCTCTGTGTGGTGCCTGAACTGCACCTCACAGGCCTTGCCCTGGTGGCGCGTGGGCACTGGTGCCAGCTCTGATGCCTGAGCATGATGATAGCCATGGCTCCCAGCTTGCTGCGGTGGCTGGGACCACCTGCACAGGGTCTTGCCTGGGCAAGTTATCAGTTGTCTGAACTCAACACTTGACCTCGTCTTTGGCTGAATTTCCCAGGGAGTGATTTGAAAACCACTTGTGGTATGTGGTAATATCCGAGGGAATGTGGGGGGATTTTTTTTATTAYTTAAGTTTTGAATTTTATTGTTAATGGAAAAAATAATTAGTACTTATGTAGTAAAATGATGATGAACTTGACCACCATTGGAAGGTGACCCATGAGTCTTAGGAGCTCAAGAAAACTCCATTGAGAAAGAAAGTTCAGAGACACTGCTTGGCCTCCAGGCCTTTCCCAGTCTGACCCCAGCTGTCCTCCCAGTCCCTTTCCAGTCCTTGGTCCTTACAACCCCGTGCTATGACAGGACCTGGGAAAACATCCCACAGGACAACGTGACATTGGACTCAAAGTAAGAAGTCCATGAGGCTGTCCCTCCATGTCCCAACCAGATCAGTGACCTTACCAGAGCCCAAACCTGGAGTTCTTACCCTCAGGGGCCCATACAGGAGCTGTGCATCCTTTGCCCTGTGACTAGCCTGAGCCCTGTACTCTGTGTATGTCCCATAGGCCTCGTGGGCCTCAAGGTGCAGGCAGGAGCCCATACAGGGAGGTGACCAATAAGGGAGTCTCAGAGCAGTAGCCTCTCACTCTCAAAGGAGGCTAATCCCAGCACAGAAGGATCTGGGCTCCGAACCTGAGGAGCAGCCCAGACCTGCAGCAGGGGATTTGACCTGAGCATGCCAGGTCCAGCATGTGGTCCTCCAGATTGATTTAGAGTGCCCATTAAGAGCACCATGGGTCCTGGCTTCATCCCAGAGAAGGGCAAAGGCCACCCTGAGGACTTTTGTCAAAATTCAGACACAGACTTGACTACTGGATGATATTGCGCCCACCTTCTGTCCTGTGACTCTGACCACAGCACAGTGGGTGTGTGTGTGGGAGTCCTCCTTTCCAGGAGGAACCACAGTGCGGACCACTTGAAGGTCAGGTCGTGACACTGCCAGCAACTCACTCTAACAAAGACCCAGTAATAAAGCCCTCAACCTGGAGATCACAGGAAAGCAAGGGCGGCAAGGTGAATTTCTTCAAGGTATAAAGTTTGCACTTTGGCAACATGACTGTATGGTTCAGATTTCTTTCTACTCAAATCTGAATTATCACATGATTCTTGGATGCTTCTGGTCCAGACACCCACCACCCAGAGGTAAAGAGAAGAACGTGTAAACTCAGGAGGAAGAAACCCATCTGTGTTCCTCTGCATTCCTGACAAATTAAGAAATACACACAGAGGCACAGTTCAGTACCCTCAGAAGCTAGCCTGTCCTCCACGCCAAGCCTCCCTAGTGGTAGGCTACTCTACTCGTCCCTCTCAGGGGGCCCCCCTGCCTGCCAGACCCTCCAAAGCCCAAAAACAGTTCCTTGAGGGTCTCATGGCTGCTCCTTCTCCAGAGACCCCTCCGTGTGCCCAGGACCGGAGCACTGAATGACCAGTGGATGACCAAGGGCTCTCCTGTTTGCTAACTGCTTAGACACGTGCCTTATCTCCCTACCAGCCGGGGAGCTGCCGGTGTCATGTCACCTTTGAGTCCCCAAAGTGCCTGATACATAACAGGGCCTCAGTAAATGTTTGTTGAGTGCACACTGGCAGCTGGGTGAGTTTGAGCAGTGATGTTCAGAATGGCAACTTTTCTTAGAGCCAATAATGTATTTACACAAAAGTATGGCCTTCTGATGGCTGGTGGGGACACAGTGCCCAAGGACTTTTCGCGCCATTCCCTAAGAGGTGGTCTAGGCTGGAAGTATAAACTGATCCAAGAAACCTGCCCATCAGGAGCAGATCAGAAGGGAACGGCCTCAATSAGCTATTATGGGAAGCCATGGGCACGGCCTCTGAGGCAGAGCTGCTGAAAGGGGCCGTGTGGCCGCATACCGCCTTGCTGCAGGGACCACTGGGCTGGGCCGGAGGGCAGTTTTGATCTCCCTGTGTTCACTCTTCGCTGTAGGCGCAGGGCCCAGTGTGCTGCCCACCCCTCCCCACGGCGCATTCCTCTCGGTCTCTTGGTCTCTCCGTTTGCTTAGGGAGGGAAAGGCCAGGTTTCCAGATGGGAGCTTAAAAAGCTTTTCTGTTAATGGGGCAGTTGGCAAAAGGGAGAAAAGAGAGGAGCCCTGTTTGCTTTGATTCCTGTATTGCGGCAGTGTTTGTTCAGTCTCGGCTGGTGCTGAGCTTTGGACACTGGGCTGCAGAGAGGATGGGGTRGGGGCAGATGCCGGGCGGGGGAGTTGGCAGGTCCCCCCGCTGAAGCCCAGTTCCGCCACCGAAGGGGCCCATCTCCTCCCTTATCCTGGGTTTTTCCATCTGTAAACCAGATAAGGGTCCCCGAGTCACAGTCAGCTGTGAGGACCGGGCATGCTAGCTGACCCCGCACACCTGGCAGCTGGCAGACTTCAAGCCAGCCTCGGCTTCACTTGAAGACAGGCCTGTTCATCCCACACCTGTGGCGGGACTGCCTCCTGGCCGGGCTCCTGCACTCAGGGTGACAAAGCCTGGCAACAGCTGGGGTAGGGAAAGCAGCCACCTGTGAGGCAGTCATCCTGCCTCTGCCCTTCTTGTGAAGGTACCTGTTCTCCTGAGGAAGGAGTCCTCCTGTGACTGCCAGTCTGCTGCAAGCCAGTGAAGTGGTGACTACCTAGTGCCTTACCCCAGCCCCAGAGGARTAGTCCTTTCCAGGACTCATCCCCCCTGAGGCCTGCTCCCCTGCCAGGCTGAAGGGGACACCCAGCCCTGAATTATGTCAAATGATGAGAACAGGCCATCTCTGATGAATGACACCACTGTTTTCTGCCCCCAGATGTTTTCTGGCCACGACCAAGACAGGGTAGCACTAACTGCTCAAGAGCAGAGCTTCCCCAGGCATTACCCACAAGGCAGAGGGCCGGGGCAGAGCTCCACACACACATGCCGGGCACCATGCACACCTGGGTTGCTGAATTACAGTGTTTGCATGTGACTCAGAAGCAGAAGCCAAGAAACCTGCAAGCCAGGGCCAGCCGCACATGCCCTGGACACATCTCCTCCCGCGGGCTACTGCAATCGGCCTCCACAAGAAGATTGGCCTCTTCCTAGATGACACTTGGTTCTATTATGGGAATAGAACTATGAAGATAAGAAAAACCAAGTGTCACCCAGAAACCCCCATCAGCCCCTTCCAGACTTCCCCTAGAAGATGTCCCCAGGGATCAGATGGTGCATCCTCTACTTGGCAAAGGAAATATGATTAGGAGAAAAACAGAATACTCAGATAATTCATTGAGTTCACCCACCCTGATCTTCTACTTCTGAGTGCATTGAAGTTCCTTGAATAACTCAGAGAAGACTGTTGAATTATAGTGTTTGCTTGTGATTCAGAAGCAGAAATTTTTCCAAATGTCTTAGCAAGAAAATGACATCTGAGGGGCCATTATGAGTGACTCAGCGGGTGTGGGCAGCCCCCTAGACGAGCTGAGCTCTACTTTGTTGCACTCTGCCTCCATGTGTGTTCTCTTCCTGAAAAAAAAGAAAGTTCTAGAAGGATGAATAAGTAACTTCAAGAGGACAGGGGCTAAGCCAGGCTACTCAGCTCCATGGAGAAGTCCTCCACCTCTTTGTCCAGCTGAAATGTCTGTGGTGCCCACACCACACAGGGCTCACTGGGCCACTCATCTTCCCAGCCCATCCTGCAGCCCCAGACTGTGGAAATGCTTGGCCATCTCTTAACCACCTTGAAAACCAGCCTCCTGAGCTGTGCAACTCTGACTTACAGGAGAAGACACGACCCACCACACACACAATGCACCACTTCCTTTGAACTGCTGTACCCCAAAGATGACAAACATATGGACCCTCTCAATTATCTCTTTCCCATCTCCCAAGATGTGCAACTACTGATAAGCAATGTTCTGTGGTGTCAACAGAGATCAGTATAATACCTGTGAGCACCTGGAGTCAAAATCAAACAAAAATATGTAATTCTGCAAGCCCCATGGGTCCAAGAAGTCTATTGTGTGAGTCTCAGAAATTCATTCATTTGTCAAGCAAATATTAGCAGAGTGCTGTTTGGGAGACTTGATGTTCCTTAGAAAAGCACAAAGTGTGGGCCTGGTCCTCCAGGGGTTTGGAGGGTGACAAGAGCACTTGATTTCCATCCTGCTGGACTTCATGCACTTCTCTGCCACCATCTGTCCCATGTTTGGCCTGCACACCACCACCACCATTATCACCACTACCGCCACATCACATCATCATCACTATCACTACCACCACCATCACCACCACCATCACCACCACCGCCCCATCATCACCATTATCACTACCACCACAGAGATAGAGATAGAGATAGAGACAGAGACCCAGGAAGGGAACTGACTTGCCAAAACCTCAGGCTAATGTGACAGAGCCAACCACAGATGACAAGTCTTCAGACCCCTTTGTCCAGGGGGACAAATCTGAGGCATCAGGAGGCAGTCTGGCCATCTGGCCTCCAGTCAGGCAGCCATGCAGCCTCGATGCTCCTGGCAGGCCTCACCTCACCTCTGGGCTGCGTCCTGCCCTTGCTCTCACCTCTCCAGCAATACTATGGCTTCA